CAGTTAATCCAAGAAAGAGCACCCGTCCTCCAACTTCCCTTACTCCTCGTAAAATGAGGGTTACAGGAGTATGAGTAAGAAGTCCTCCAGCTTGACATTATTTTGACATATATCAAAATAAATGATTGTAGTATAGATGAGGACTATGTGGCTGTGTCTACACTGGCATGAATTTCTGAACATGCTTAAAACGGAATACTATTCCATTTTCAGTTTTTCCGGAAAAGGAGCATCTACATTGGCAGGCTGCTTTTCCGGAAAAGCCCTTTTTCCGGAAAAGCGTCTGTGGCCAATGTAGACGCGCTTTTCCGGAAAAGAGCCCCGATCGCCATTTTCGTGATCGGGGCTTTTTTCCGGAAAAGACTACTGGGCTGTCTACACTGGTCCTTTTCCGGAACAGTGTTCCGGAATAAGGACTTATGCCCGAGCGGGAGCAGAATAGTTTTTCCGGAATAGCGGCTGATTTTGTACAGTAGAGCATCGTTGCTTTTCCGGAAATTCAAGGGCCAGTGTAGACAGCTCGCAGCTTATTCCGGAAAAGCGGCTGATTTTCCGGAATAAGTGGTTATTCCGAATAACACTGCTGTTTAGATGTACCCTCAGAGAGCTGCTTACCCTGTGGAATCATTTAGACTTACACACTCCATGCATTTCCAGTGCACAAATCCAATATTTATATATAATTACAGAATGTAAATTCACAGGATGCTTTCACTGTAATTGGAAGTGATTTTACCCTTTTAACAGCCTGCACTGCATCCTCTCCCTCTTCTGGATTTTTAGCTTCACCACCATCTATAGATACCTCCTCTTCTGGTCAATAAAAAGGCATTTTCAGTAATTATATCATCTTCAATTTCAGTATCATTTAACGTTTGTCAAAGTGTCTACTTAACGTGCTGCTTCATTATCTCCCCTTGAACCACTTAGCCTGTGGGTCAGTGGGCCCATTCATACATTTCTCATGTCTCTTTTTCACAGCGGGTAACTGACTTTAAATTCAGAAGGTTAATTTATGAAAGGCTCAATAGTACTCCAAGCAGTGGCCGCCCTTCATGATCTGATCACCCCATGAAAGTCTGTTCTGATGAAACCTTCCACAGAGCTTGGAGTTTTTGTAGACGTTAACAAAAGGGAACTCTCTCTTTTTGCCTTGTGCAGATTCCCTTAAATCCAGTTCCACTATCTGCCTCACCAATGGAAAAATGTTATTTTTCTAATTCTTCCAGACTAAGTACTCAAACAGATGCCATTTGAACAGATGTCTGCTGAGACTGTTTCTCTAGATTGTAAAGCTAACCATCTGTGTTTTTAGGCTGAGGGCCCAAGGACCCATTTCTGTAATTTATGCACCCATGTACCTTCCCTGAATGCAATAGGACTGATCGCATGAGTAATTATGCACATGTGTAACTTTACTTGCCGAGTTGAGCTAGAAGGTCCCATTCTTACAACTGAATTCACACAGGCAGACTCCTGTGCACGCATTGATTCATTTTTAGGACCAGGAGCTAGTGAAGGTGTCAATATTTGTGATCTGAAGAAGTGGGTTGTGACCACGAAAGCGCATGACACTATGTATTTGTTATTTGAGTCTCTAACATGCTACAGGACCATTGCTGATTTAAAAGCCATGAAGCGTTGCCTCAAATGAAATCAGATTTAATATGTGCTGGTTTTGGAGCAGGGACATCTGAAGGTTTATTTTTTGGTGCTTTGTATTTTGACTGTTACACAAGGTGAGGGGCAGACTTTTCTCTCTCTATATATATAAAAAGACTTTCCTGCTGCATGACAGAATGACATGATCAGGCTCTCTGGCTGCAAAAGTGAAAGTGGCCAGAAAGAGGAGGTTAGCAAGCATAGTGAGCAGCGGGTGCAGCCCCCTAGTAAAAATTAATCATACATTTTATCAATTAAAAATTCAGTTTCTCTAAGTTCTCCTTTACATCCTGGTTACAGGGGAAATGAGAACTTTGTTCATAGCTGCCAAGTAGGGGCAGCTTCATGTGCACATTAGTTAAAAGGTCATTTGTATAGTAACATAAAATTCAGTTTATGGTCAATAGCCACTGCTCATAAGAGCAGTTGCAGTAGGACATGGCAATTTGATTGCTAAAAGTCTTGGTTACATGGACAACTTTACTACTGGCATTTCCTATCTTAAACCTCCCACATGAGAGCTTTTCTACAATTGAAAAAGGTGCAAAACTGGAGTAAAGGAGCACATTTCTATGTTAGTAAATATTATATTGCTGCTGCTCGTATGACAATTATTAGTAAACTTATTAAAACTTCGTAAGTTACTGTGATGTTAAACCACAAAGGGTAAGCAACTATCAACCTAAATAACCCACATTCATCCTTTAGAAGTATGTTATGTTAACCAAGTAAACAGATGGTTTTTGTCTGTTACTATATCCTATTGATTCAGAGTTCAAAAAGGGAATATTAACTTTTAGATGGAACTTGGGTGTAATAATGACAGTGTTTATATTTCTTTTTGAAGCTTGTAGTAAACTGTCTCTGAACTGCTTAATGGCTAATTACCTTATGCTAATGAATGCAGCTAGCTACCTGTATATACATAGGAAATAAAAGGTTCTACATCAAACCACAGTGCTTCACCCAAGGCCTGCATGTTGTTAAAAGACTGATAGAAAACTGTTAAAAGACCTCTATGGCCCTGATCCTGCATCTCATGAACGATTGAGTTTCATCAAGAGGAAGTTTGAGTCACAAGATGTAGACCAGCTCTACACATTAGGGGGCAATATCCAACTAAGGTACACAACTCCAGCTATGTGAATAGAGTAGCTGGAGTTGAGGTACCTTAGTTCAAGTTACTGAAGCATTTCCACTGTGGAGAGTCAATGGGAGAAACTCTCTGCTCGACTCCCCTTACTCTTCTCGCTGCAGTGGAGTACCAGACTTGATAGGAGCACGATTAGTGTTCGCTTCAGCTGGTCTTTTCTAGACCCACTAAATTGACCCCTGGGAGATTGATCCCTGCAGCACCCATCTCCTGGTAAGTGTAGACAGGGCCTGAGAGGTCTCCAGCTCCAGTTTGGTCACCCTTGTATTGAACATTGGACTATAACCGATGGGACTAAATCTGACAGAACTCTTTCTAACTCAAAGGTTTAGCATCTCTACTATGAAAATAACCTACGGCAGTGGCCACCAACCAGAAGATCAGGATCCTCTGGTAGCTCTTGGAGCCTCTGACAGGTGATCCTGACTGATTTGGCCAAGCAGCTATCAAGTGCGAGCACTTCAACTGCCCTTCCCCCTCCTGCTGCACATCTCCTGCCCTTTGCCTTAGAGCTGCCTTCCCCCACCCCCGAGAGCCTCCTGGTTGCTGCACGGGGCAGGGGAGGGAGAAGAGGGGTGCTGATGTCAAGGTGCACTCTCTCCCACCCTGTATCCTATCTCCACCGAGCAACCACGGATGTAACCATGTATTCTGGTAGGAACTGAATTTTTCATTGACCTGGTAGATAATACGTCTGATTCTTTGGAATTGGTAGAACTTTTTATATGATGAACAAGATTTCTAGTAATCTTCAATATAGTTGATGTGGCAGTCTGAGTGGGAGCCACAGACTGGGTTGCTTCAAGGGAACTATATTTCGGGCTTCTGGGTAACCAGCAGGATACTATTATAAGAGATGTTTCATTGTTGGCTTGATGAATCTAAGTATTAGAAATAACCTACAGTTTTGTAGATCTGTCCCATTCTTTGCAATTTGCCCTCGTTAAACAATCTCAGCATGTCTCCCAAGGGACCCTAGTCAAGGTATTTAAGAACGCTGTATGGCAGTTCATATTCAGTGGATTCTGCTTAGTAGCAGGGCTGTGCCTAGGCATACATAGCATATGCAGCTGCATAGGGTACCACTATATTTGAGGCTGACCTAAATTTAGTAGTGCCCTACAGTTATGCTGACCATCCATCCCAGATTTTATGGGACAATCCCAATTTTTAATCTCCTGTCCCCATGAAGCACTGAAATGCCCCCAAAAGCCTCAAGAGTCCAAATATAGCTAGAAGCAGCTGTGCGCTGCTGTTTCCTATCCCCTCCATGTCACTATAGTGTGGATGGACAGATTCTTTGCAAGTTTTCCTCATCCAAGCAGTTGAGATTAAAATAGCATGTTAAGAAGTCATGTGAAAGTACTTGGTGTATCCACGGGGAGGCAGGGTGTACTGCCTCTCTACAGAGAAGGTTGTCATGACTTGCATGTCTGGGTGAACAAGCCCTTTGTGAGCTCTGTGAAGAGCTGAGATGTTTTGACTTCCAGTTTCAAGGGATGTGTTCTTCTATCTTTGGGCTGCACATTGCTTAGACCTGAATGGAGTTTGCTTTGACAACGCATGTCTGAATTATTCTGACACACAAAGTAAAACCTGTGCTAAAGACCCCACGTCCAGTGAGAGAAAGAGCTACTGTCAGAAGAAGTAAATTCAAAGTCTCTCCAATTTTTTTAAAAAATTGCCTCTACCAGGCAACCGGGCTTTTATTGATTGGTCCCTTATATTTTTGAAAGGTGACTAAATGTTAACTGGATTTTCTTAAGTAATGTCAACAGATTGCCAGAAGCCAAATGCTGGAGTTATAGGATACCTTTCCCAACACCTTCCAGTCTGTGTCCTGCCGGGGGGCTGCCCTCAGCAAAGGCCATGCTGGGAGGTGCTGAAATACAGCCCCCAGAGTGTGCAGGGAGAGATATGGTGGAGGCCCCCAGTGCTTCTGCTCTGGGTAGAAAGCTCCAGCATCAGGGCTGCAGGCCTCTTCCCCCTGCTGCCCTTCACCTATTAGCAACTGCTGAATAGTAGCAGCTTATGTATTATGGGAAACAGGCTCCCTTCTTCTCCATACCCCAGCTCCTCTCTCTTTAGTGAAGAATTAATGCACTGAAGTGCTAATCATCCAGAATGGGATTGGCTACTTCTGTTTTGCTGCATTTCACTGTTCCACAACACACACACGCACACACATATACACCAGTTCTAATAAATATATAAATATATTTTAAAAATCTGTAAAATCATTTGACGGTTACATTTAGGAAGTTAGTATTGCTGCCCATTACAAGATCGCACAGCGGTACTCTTCTGTGTATTCTATTGTATATGCCGGGTAAATCTGGTGCTTTTCAAAGATGACAAAAATGGAGGGATTCACTAGGCTGTCCACACAGCTGTCATAAAACCTGTTCGGATGGCTGGGTCTGGGTGGGGGGCGAAGGTAGCTGCTACTTCCTTCAACAAAATCTCCGACTAGCACTCGAGCAACAAACATGGTCTTGGAACTGGTGTCAGCCTGACAGTACTTATGGGAATAACTGGCATCCCTGGCGAAGTAGCTTCCTAAGAATAAGAAAAAAGGCGACAAGTGAATTATTTCTGTAGACTATTTTATGCTTGTATCTGATACTGCCACAACAGTTGATGCTTCAGCCCAGGGGCAGGGAACCTTTTTTGGGTTGGATGCTGCTGATCCACAGAAAAATCAATTGGGGGTTGGGCGGGGTGCACAAAAATAAGAAAAAAAAAACCAGTTCTCAGTTGGTGGCTTCCAACTAAGAAGCCGAAAGACACTTCGCACGTTCCCCTCTCACACCAGAGCCTACAGTGGCCCAAGCAAGTAGATTTTGTGTGCTCCAGACCCGTGGTGGGGTAATGGGGGACTGGAGCATTGGGGCCGAGGGGGTATGAACCCCAGGAGCGGATCCAGGCAAACTGAAGGCCACATCCAACACCCAGGCCTCAGGTTCATCTTTAACCTGTAGCATTTTAACAAGTGCCCTTAATGCTGTATGTACCTCCAGATAATTGCAAATATCTCCTAAATCATATACCCATACATTGTGTTTATTATGAATAAGGTCAAGAGCTAATAATGCTTTTTACGACAAAGACTTCCATCATCCACAACACTGCTCCATAGTCAGGAAGTTAGTTCACTAACCGGTGCAACTATTTCGTTTTTTTAATGTATGTTTTACTTCATGCATCCTGCACTATTTGTCTACACAAAAAAGTTGAGGTGCTTTAACTAGACTAGTATACTTAAAGCAACATACCAACACCTAATGTAGTTGCGCACATAGAGATTCAACAGCATCTTATTGCAATATAGTTTATTTCTGTATTAAAAGAGGAACAAACTGTACCGGTATAAGATACTGGTAAACTGTGTCAATCAGGGATATTTGTCCAAATACTAGCAGACCTGCTAGTATGGATACATGTAAATAGGTATAATATCATCTATAACTGGGCCTAGCCTAGGGATTATGCTAGTATTTTGGAAATGAAATACCTGATCAACATGATTAAGACAGTACTACATCTGTGTGCAGACCAGACCTTAGCTGGTCAGAAAGTAGTTCTCCCCACTCTAAGAAACTTCTACTTTTCTAATGAAAAAGGTATTCTGGCATAACTATGTTTGTCAGGAGAGGGTGGAGAAAAAAACATGCCACCTAGTGATACAGCTATGCTGACAAAATCTTCAGTGTAAATGCAATTGTGCTGACAGAAGAGTTTTTTTTTTTTTTTTGGCATAGCTAACATTGTACTGGGAGATGGTGTTCTAGTACCAGCAGTGAGGGTCAGCTAGGCTCCATAGCTACATAGACATAGCCTTGGAGAAAAGTTGCTTTCTGCAAAGTTCTTGTTTTGTCAAAACCCCATTACAAAAATAAAAAATTTTGACCAGCCCCAGTCAATACTCAAACTCCTATTGATGACAATACAAGACTTTTTGAACAGCATCTAACGCAGCGTTTCTCAACCTTTTTGATATCAAGAGCCAGCTTGATGCCTTCCTAAACTGGGTTAGACGGTCCCATGGATTGGCACCAGCCTGTAGACTGGTCTTTGAGAAACATTGTTCTCAGGCCCTCTGACAGAGGCATGTAAACGGGACAATTGCCCTGGAGTCCAGAGCTTCAAAGGGGCCCAGACCTCCTGGCAGCTGCTGCTACTTGTGGCAGGGGTGGTGGCCAGAGCCCCAGGCCCCTTTGAGTTGCTGCTGGAGTGCCACTCAGTGTGGTTGTGAGGGCTGAGGGGAGGAGTGCACTGTGGTCTGGGTGGTGCTAAGGGCTTACTGTCCTCAGCCCCACCCCTTCCAGGGGCGTAGCACTCCCCCCCACACACACACACACACACACACACACACACACACACACACACACACACACACACACACACACACAGCTCTACTGACAGTTCTAAAGAACATAGTTGCCTCAACAGTTTTAAGCAAACTTATTTCTTCAGGATTGAAGAAAAAAGAGCTTCTGCAAGTGAATTCTCAGGTTTTTTACCAGCTAGTTGGCTGTGAATTCTGTGATTAATAGTCCAACAATGGAATCTTGTGACATCAAACTATGAAGACAAAATTAGAGTTTTAAAGCAACGCACAATAAAATCTAGTAATAATGTGAAAGTTAAGAAAGGATGGCTTCAAGTCAAGTGCTTCCCATGGATAAGGTTGCTCTGAAAATATTATACAGGACCCAACAAGCCCTTCTCAAGACCGCAAGAGATCCCGCTGCTGAACAGGCTACCTGGTGAGCGTGAGAGTACCGCTTTTGGTGTGAGTGAGTTTGCTTGACTGTTTGTATTTTGTTTGTTTGTTGAATTCTGATTCTGATTTCAGGTGACTGCAGTTTCAGTTTGAGCTGCTGTGGCAGTTGGGACTGAGTGCCTAACCCTTTGTTCCCTCAATTGCTCTCTTGATTGCATCTGGTCAGCCTTTCCTTGTGTGACTCATGAGAGGGCAGGCCTGGCCTAGGCAAGCAGGCTTTAAAAGCCAGAGGCAGAGTGACCAGGGAGCGAAAGCGGACAGGGGAGTTTGACAGAGGGAGGCCTACTATGGTCAGGAAAACCCGCAACACCTGTGCCAGCACTGTTTCTGTCTCCTCCACCTGCGCCTGTAGCCAGACAGAGCGCCTTAGCATGAATTCCTCTACCCAGATCCTGGTGTGGTTTTGCAGGGACTGTGGCTTGCAATTCCAACTTACTGATATCCAGGCTGGGGAGATCATCCAGTGCGAAAGGTGCCTGCTGGTGGAATCTCTCAGGAAGCAGGTGGGAGAGCTACAGGAGAAGTTGGCTAGGTTGAGGAGCACCCGAATCCACTAGCAATTCCTGGACCATGTTCATGAGGAGACAGCTGAGGTAGCTGTCCCAGTACACAGGACTGCGGACACACCACTGGTGGAGGAGGAGACGGCTCAGGGAGGACACTGGCAGCTGGTTACTTCTGGCAGCAGGCGCTGCTCCATCCCTGCTCCGAACCCTCCCGCTGTTCTTTATACAGGAGATAAGGAATCACCCCCTACAACAGAGGAGGAGAAGCCTCATACCCCCAAGGCTGGGAGGTCTGCTGCCACCACTGCAAATAGGAAACGTAGGGTAGAGGTGGTCGGAGACTCTCTTCTGAGGGGGATGGAGGCACCTATCTGTTGCCCTGACATTTCATCTCAGGAGGTTTGCTGTCTGCCGGGGGCCCGTATCCGAGATGTTAGGAGGCATTGTCGAGGATTATCCAGTCCTCTGACTACTACCCCAGGTTACTCATCCATGTGGGCACAAATGATACTGTGAGGTGTGACACTGAGCAGATCAAGCATGACTACAGGGATCTGGGGGTACGGGTGAAGGAGTTTGGAGCGCAGGTGGTATTCTCTTCAATCCTTCCTGTCGAAGGTAGGGGCCCAGGCAGAGACAGGTGCATCCTGGAGGTGAATGCCTGGCTGTGAAGATGGTGTTGCCAGGAGGGCTTTGGCTTCCTCGACCACAGGATGCTATTCCAGGAAGGACTGCTAGGCAGAGATGGAATTCACTTTTTGAGGAGAAGGAAGACCCTATTTGGACACAAAATGGCTAATCTAGCGAGGAGGGCTTTAAACTAGGTTCGACGGGGACAGGTGAGCAAAGCCCACAGGTAAGCAGAGAACATGGAGACCTGGGAGATGGGTCGGAAATGGGAGGGAGCATGGGCTATAATGGCAGAGAGCAAGGAGGATCAGGGCAAAACTGGGAGGCAAGGTCAAATCAGGATCTTAGATGCCTGTATACAAATGCGAAAAGTATGGGAAATAAGCAGGAAGAACTGGAAGTGCTAATAAATAAGTACAATTATGACATTGTTGGCATCACAGAAACTTGGTGGGATAATACACACGATTGGAATG